ATTATGTATCCCCTTCCTACAGAGAAAATTCTCTAAAAAAAGAATTAAATATAGTTGAGGTAAGATATAATGGATGGTATAGACTAAATGTTTGTTTCTGCTCTCAAAATCTCTTATTAAAATGTAATGTATAAATTTCATCTACAGCATTATTACTTTTTGCACTACAATTTGCCCCCAGTGGCACAGCGGTATGTCTGCGTACTTACAACGCTAGAAACCGGGTTTCGATACCCGTGGTGGGCAGAGCACAGAAAGCCCATTGTGTAGCGTTGCGCATAACTTCAAACAAACAAAGCACTACAATTTATATTTTCGGCTAAAAGTAAACATTAATATAATTATAAATCACAGTAGCTTTTATTTTATCAATAACTAGTAGAACTGACATAATATTATTGCAAACCACTTTATTTATACTTTCCCAAAGAACAATCCCCCAAAACGGTGCGGAATATGTTGTTATAATGTCGAACATCGTAAAGAATCTCGTCTATTTACACGTCAGAAGCCTTCGAAACGTCGATATTAAGTAAATAAGTTTTTGGACTTTTATTTGTACTAGTCGTTTGTACTTTAAATGATGCTCTTTCAATATCTCTCTATTACGGTTTTTATGTTTTTCGAAATAAACCATACATATGTATATTTCACTTCAATAAAAGGCTTTGGCTTTAAAAATAATGTATTAATCATATAACTTATAAGGTTATTAGTAATGCAGCCTGGAAATTGTTACAATGATCAGGGTTGCCTAAAAACATCCACTGTTTTATCGGTTAACATCAATTATAACAATAAAATAGATCATTAATCGTCTGTGTTTCCGTTAAACGAACGGGGTGGGTAGTATGTTTCTCACCGACAAATGCCAATAGTTTATTTATTAAATGGCTGATATATAGTAGCAACTGTTGATAGGCTTAAAAAAAAAAGAGAGAGGTCTCTAACAAGCACTTACTTGAACGCGCTATCGATATGTCGGACAGGCCGGAGCCAAGCAAGTAGACACTAAACCGCTGAGAACCAGGTGTCGAATGACATCTAAGGTCATGGACTAGCCGGCAGGCGACGCAGTCGCAATCGTAGTCGGTCAGCAAAATCACTAATCAGGCACAAAGGATTGGAAAAGCTACACAAAATTTCTGCTATGTTTTAGCATATTTTTGTTATTAAGACCCGATAAAAAGAACATCTATGAAAAGTAAACTCGATATTTATACTAGCTGAGGTCAAGGAAGCAAACATTGTATAAAGAACAATGTTAAATAATGTTCCCTATCCTTCTTTGTACTGTTATTGAATCCATAACCAACTCATTAGATGCTAATTGCATATCCTGCTTTGACTCGTTTAACTGACCAAGTACTTGTGCTTAAAATTTAAAGGCAAAAGTCTAATAAAAAAGTGGAAATTTGTCCTATTTCAAAATGTTTATTATTCCCTTCTCGGGCAAAATTCATGAAACAAAATAGTCTATGTAAACCGTCAGACAGTTTCCAGTTACCACACAGAAAATCACGGTAATCGAGCCAGCCAACTCTGGGTGATGGATGCTGCTACACACACACATATAATGTTTGTTGAATTTTACGCAAAGCTACTCGAGGGCTATTTACGCTAATCGTCTCTAATGTAGATGTGATTAGACTAGATGGAAGGCAGCTGATCAACACCACCCACAGCCAACTCTTGGAATACTCTTTGCCAATGAAAAGTGGAATTATTCGTAACTTTATAACGCTCCCAGGGTTAAAAAGGCGAGCTTGTCCATTGACGGAATTTAAAACTGCAACTCACAGATGGCAAGTCAAGTGCTCTAACCACCAGGTCGCACATCTTTATACTAATATACCTATACGACCATATATCTCAACCTGATCTTCGAACTCATATAAATAGTATAGGATTCCTAAATTAGCTTCTGCACAGTAAGTAAAATATAAGACATTGGTTATTTGTGTAATCTGCCCATCTTTACATTAAAATTTACACCCAGTTGTACAAAACATCGATGTTTAAACAATGAAAATAATAATAAAAAATAAAAGCGAAAAAAGTAGAAATAGTGTCCTATTCAACACAATAATATTTCAGATAAACTTATTTAAGTGTTGAAATTTTATACAGTTTACTTCTTAGTGGAGGAGTACTATCAAATTTTAAGACAGTTTCTCAACCTTTATAACTCTGTAGACCCTTTTCAACATGACCGTAGGCCTAGTGAGCCCCCACCTAATTGTTTTTTAACTTTTTTAAACAGTTTCTTAATTTTCAGTGTTTTTTATATGTGTAATAAAATATCTCAGCCGTTTGGTACTGAGTCCAGACGTTAACAATTTCCTTCGTAAAACTCTGCACGTGACGTAATGTACTGAGTACATATCCGGTGAAAATACTAGAGATTAGGCTAAACAATTTGAATTATACGTTTTGTTTTGTTTGTTATATTGGTTCTTAAGTGACCTTCTACAGATTTTTGAGTATTCCCGGTTAATAACTTGCCTCTTATGATATATCCAAGTAGGCCAAAGTCTTACATTTCTAATTCTAAAATATTGCTAACCAGTCGTTATGATGTGTAAGCTTATATGTTCTATAAGCGAATACTTACTTCATTTGCATAATGTTTATGCGCTCTTACACGTCTATTATTTTAAGTATTTAACCAAATCGCTGAAAACTCTAAACATTTAATTACAAGTTGTATGAAATATCGGATTAAATTAAATGACTTAAAGAATTCTTTCTCGTATTTAGTGTTTCAGCAGTCTTGCTAAAATATATGACTTAAACTAATCTTTCGTTATACAGGGTGTCTTCGAAGGAGTGTTGCTAAATTCGATTACTTAAACAATGTTTCATTATATAAGGTGTTTTCGAAGGAGTGTTTTGCTAAACTCTATGACTTAAACAATGTTTTATTATATTCGGTCTTTTCGAAGGAGTCTTGATAAATTATGTTACTTAAATAATGCTTCATTAAATACAACTTTTTTCGAAGAAGTCTTGATAAACTCTATAACAAATGAAAGAAGAAAGTGAACCAATTCTTTTTTCATGCCAGATAGGAATAGCAGAGCCAGTCTATATGAAGCAAGAGAAGATACCGTGAAACTGGTATCATTAAGAGTCAAATAAAAAACCATTGAGTAAAATAAATGCAAGAAAATCATAATATAATTACTGCCAAGTGGAAAAAATTCAATTTGCAAAAAACAAACAAGCCAAAAAAGAAAACATACATTATAAATGTAACATCTAATAAACAGAGAAGCTTTATGCAAACAACCACGCAAATTTTTATGTATGTACTACTCTTGTAGTAAATATATAGATGCATTTTGTAAACAAGTAATAAAGTAATTTCTTCCACCACCGAAGGTGGACGGAGGTTATGTTTTCACCCCTGTGTGTGTGTGTTTGTCAGCAGGATTTTTTGAAAACGGCTGAATGGATTTAGATGAAAATTGGTATACCTCTGGACTATGACCCAACTTAAAAGTGATTAGTTTTTGGATGGTAAAATATAAAGGGCTTAGCAAGGTCACGAAAAAAAAATCCCTATCTTTTTCACACTATTGTTGCTCTATAACTCAGTCAAAAATGATCAGATTTTGGTGAAACTTGGTGGATATATGTAGAATATTATTCCTCATTGTCCTGCTAAAAATGGTTAGTGTTCGTGGATAACGACGGACATGGAGACACATTTTCTTATTTTTTGAGAGCCGAATATGATTAGCGCTGCGTGGCGGAGGTATGCGCTCTACTGAGTGTCTCTCTAGTTTCTTAATGCAACACCATGCAAATATAAATAACCATATAAATAACCATGCATTTTGTTTTTCATGTAAACCCACTACAGATAAATTTCTGTATTTACGTGTTTACAACTATAAGCTACAGCTTACTAAGACAAAACTGGGTATTTTCATCAGAGTTTTCAAAATGTTTAGGTTAAGATTCTGCAAATTGTAATCTACTATATAAAGCAAAGTGTGTGTCCGGGAAAAAATATACGGTCCTATATCTATCATTTCATATCTGTTCCTTATACATTTCCACATTTCTTGATCAATCAGCACCAAACTTGACACAGTGATATAGGATGACACGGGGAAGGTCATGAAAAGGGTGGGGGTTGAACCTCCCATCTAATTTCGGAAAAACTACCACATCAGCATAACTTGACACAGTGATACAGGATGAACACGGAAGGAAGACGTGTCTGAT